TATTTGTATATAGAAGAAATATTTTTTTGGGAATTTTTTAGACATATAATATATAATATTTCTTTATTATTATTATTATTGTGCAGTTATATATCATACCGTAGTTGGTCTAGATAAGTTTCAAAAAAGTTTTGGTATAGTGACGTAGAAGGACTGAACTTTTTAATTTTTCTAAATAAGGCTGAAGTTTTCAAACTAATTTTAGTCTGAAAATAGTTTCAACATACTGACACCGAATGACTGAACTTTTTTTTTAAAAAAAAATAAGCCCTCAAATTTTAGACCAATTTTGGTCTGAAAATAATTTTATCGTATTGACACAAAAGGACCAATTTTTTTCATTTTCTAAACAAGTCGTAGATTTTCAAACCAACTTTGGTCTGAAAATAGTTTCTGCATACTGACACATAAAAACCTAATTTTTTTATGTTTCTATGTAAGGCCAGTATGTTTCAGACCATTTTCAGTCTGAAATTTTGTCCAATATTCAGACCATTATTGGTTTGAAAATCTTGTGTATTCAGACCAATTTTGATATGACTTAGCCTTTATATAGACCAAAATCGGTCTAGAAACGATATTTATTCAAACTAGATATTTTTAGATCGATATTCTGGATCAATAACAATCTGAATAATTATATTCAAACCAACGTCCAATATTTTTAGACCGATTTTTCGGTCCATAAAATAACTGTTTCTAGTAGTGTCTCATTAAGTTTTGTTGTACTTGGTTCCAAGTTCTACGTCAGTTTTCCAAGCAAAACTTTATGCAAAGCCCCTCACTTTCATAACTTGGTTCCAAGTTCTACATAAGTTTTTTGAGCAAAACTTTATGCAAAGCCCCTCAATTTCATAAGTAATGAAAAACTTTAAAACCTCTATTGATTATAGGTTGCTAGTCTTTATATTTTAGAGATTTTAAACCTTCATGACAAAGGTTTTGTTTCCAACCATGACCACCTCATTAAAACCTTAGTTAGTAAAAACCTTGTGGGATAAAAATCTAACTTAAGGGAAAAAAGTAAAACACAAGTTTTCCCGTGTACTTAATGCAATTGACATAGCTTTGATTAAAATCCTGTGAGAATCAAGTGTTTCATAAATCTTTTGCATTTTGCAAAGGTTTTGCGATTCCTTCGTCTATCAACCTTTCTGTAACTTGTCCTTTTGTCTTTATTATCTTCAAAATTTAGCATTGAGCAGATGTTTCAATTCTTGTCTATGATTGATGTATATAGTCATGATTTTTTTCATTTGTTGAGGATGATATTCCCTCTTCATATCCTAGGATGCTTTTCTTTAGTTTCATTCTCTATTGATTCTGTCAAACTTTCTTGTGCCATTCACTTGAGTTCTCCTACATAGCTTTCAAAAAGATGTGTGTTGTTGACATTTTTACTACAATTTCTTCATGGTTAAAGTACCATTTTGGTTCATCAACTTTTTATTTTGGTATCAAAACTATCCTTGAACTTTTAAAAGTACCAAAACTATCCTTAAACTTTCATTTTTGGTACCAAAATGGTCCTTTTTTCAATTAAATGAACAGTTGGCACATTAAATTGCCAAAAAAATTATATTTTTTTGAAAAAATACTGATGTGGAAAAGATAACACACATAAATGGAAGAGGTGGCACTTTTTTCTTGTTTACATGGCATTTTAATTTTAACAAATAAATAGAGAATCATTTATTATTAATTAATTAATATATTTCCAAAATTAACCTTCTTCTTCCTTATTCTCCCCTTCTTCTTCACTCTCCCCTCCTTCTCTCTCTCATCCCTACGCCATCATTTCTTCTCCATCTCTTCCGACATCTCTTCTATTTCCATTTTTCCAGTTCATCCCCTTCCCCATTTTTCCATTGTTCTTGAACCACAACAATCCAATGGTGGAGATCAATTGTCACGGCATCACTTAAAAGGAAATTATCTAAAACCGATCGTGGAAGTAGGTGAAACAAAGGGTACGGAGATTGATTTAGGGAGAACCAGAGGTGGAGAAGAAAAGGAGAAAAGGTTTGAGATATAAGAAATTGATTTAGGGTTGGTTCTCAACCCAGATCTGGGTTCTCAAAAACCCATATCTAGACTTGAGAAAACCCAGATCTGGGTTGAGAACCTAAAAAATTTGAGATTACATATTTTTGTTGGGTTGAGAACCTAATTGAGATTACATATTCAATTTTAGAAGAGGAAGATTTGAGAATTTTTGCAGAAAATGCTTATTTTTGTTTATGGTAAGAAGGTCCATGGCTGGGTTTTAAACAGAGATCGAGAAAGGAGAATCAATGGTGTTGAGAAGTGGCATCATAATATACTTTCAAGTGTTTGGGTTTGTAGCGGTAGGGGAAAAGGAAAGATAAAGGAGAGAGAAAGGGAAAGGTAAAGGAGAGAGAAAGTGAAAAAGGAAGAAGAGATCACTTTTTTTTTCTAATGTGGATAAAAAAATCTTTAATTATGAATTGATAAACAAAGAAGTTACAAATCTAAGGAAGGAAAATTGAAGTTTTCAGTAAAAAAAATTTTGGGTTTTTTACAAATATGAGGAAGGAGAATGATTGTTGCAGAGGGAAAGGTTCTTAAGGTTGAAGGAGACAAGATTTTGTCAAATTGGTTCACAATTTTTTTTACAAATCTAAGGAAGGAAAATTGAAGCTTTCAACATAAAAATTTTGTTTTTTCATAGAGATTAAGACATAGAAATCTGGGTTTATGATTGCTTTTTTTTTTTTTTTAAGCTGCTAGATTTTTCGAAGTTGCTATTTGCTTGGAGCTTGGAGTAGGTGCAAGAGAAAGAGAAGAAAGAAAGGTTGGAGGATAAGGATGAGGGCATTTAATAATTTTATTTTTTAATGTATTAACTGTTTAAAAAAATGTGAGTTTTCCTTTTTGGATTTACATGTCATTAGCATTTAAAAAATTAAGTGATTTTGTGGCAATCTAATGTGTCACCTGTCCATTTAACTAATGAAAGAACCATTTTGGAACCAAAAATGAAAGTTTAAGGATAATTTTGGTACTTTTTGAAGTTTAGGGATAGTTTTGATACCAAATGAAAAGTTGAGAGACCAAAATGGTACTTTAACCATTTCTTTATCTACATTCTTTGACTACATTAATCTTTGGAAAGCTGATGGTTGTAAAGCTTTTCGTTTATCAGGATCTTCTTTCACTCCTTTCCCTTATTTGCCCTTTAACAAATAGTTTAGTGAATTGAGAACTATCTACATTGTTCATGCTTTCCACAATGATTTGTAGAACATGCGCTGCTTCTATCTTTTTAGCTTTTATTATATTGTTCATATATCTCTCTAGCTTTTGAAAGCATCCTTCGTGTTTGAGAGTCTTCATGCAATGCTTTTATTAATCTTTAGAGTTTTGCAACAATCTTTGTCTGGATGTTGTTGAGGAAGGTTTACCAAAAGGTATTCAGATATCACCAAATCTTTGTGTTGAAAGTTAGTTCGTGGGCTATCTAGTAAGAACACAACATTAAGGCACTTGATGAAGGTTTGAGGTAGAAATAGCTCAATCAGAAGAATTTTTATAAAGAATGAATGCTAAAATGAGATACACTTGAAGATTTTCAAAGATGATGAACCAAGTGGACAAGTGTGCTAATGATAAAGATTTATATAATTATTCATCTATTGGAGCTTTATAATTTCTCTATTGTTGGTATCATTGCCTTAAAGTAATGTCAAAGTTGCATTTCACTAAAAAGTTACAAAGGCATACTCCATGTGTTGATCCTTTGAAGTTGTTTATTAGCAGTATTTTCATTAATGTGTTTATGTTGAATTATGGTCTTTTAGTTGATGATCTATCCACCTTTGAGAAAGGCTTCGATACCCAATGTAGAGGTTGATTATGTCCATGTTTTTAGCTTTTTCATTATTTTGCATCTTTCTTCTTTTGCTTTTTCAACACAACTTTATCTATTCCTCAAATTTATACATGTTATGATGCTCACTCTGATGATCCATTTATTTTGGGCCAAAGCTCTACAACTCGTAAGTATTCTAAATCTTTACTGCTTGTTGGTGACTAGAAATTGCAATCGAAATTCCTCTTGGAAGCTTTGCATGACATGATTGTTTATAATTTTGTGAGTATTTGTACTTCTCTTTCATTGTGTTTCCTCTGAATGCTCTATCGTCTTTTGATTTTTGTCTTGATGATATTTGTGCTGAGATTGATCTTGTTGAGATGTGAGAAAAGAGCAAAGATCTAATAAACTTATGTCGTTAACTAAATTTTGAAAAGATTAGTGTTGAGAAAAAAGTTGTGTTAGCGCCAAGTTTAGTTGAAGTTGAGAGATTGTAAAAAGAATTATCTATGCTTCAAGAATGCTATGATTTGTCAAATGAAGAGAAAGAACTTATTTCTTTGGCTACTTTGTCTAAAGGATGTTTCTTGCACCTTCTGATTCTTCTCTTCAGTAGCAATTGAATGAGTTGACTTTGGGAAACTTCACTATGGAAAAGCTCTATTTTGGAGTTAAAGGCACATGTTTCTCTTTTGCAAGCTTTTGCTTCCTTTACTATTTAGACCTTTAAAAAATCCTTCGAGAGTAAGGCATTTACTTGTTCTAGTAGCTTGGGATATTTAAGCATTGCTACAAAGTTGATTAAAATGTTGCTTCCTCATTAAGGGATGATTGTGCCTGATCGCCTTGTTGAATTTGAGGGTATGGATGTTGCTATAGAGGTTTATGCTAATCTTGAGTTGAAGAAGGTTTATGATCAAGGTTCATCGCATGTTTCTTTGGTTGGATCTCCTATTGAAGAAGAGGAAGGATCAAGTAGCTTTGGGATGTGGAGGATTCTGCTATGATTGTTCATAGTGGACATAGTTTTTTTAATGCAAAAGTTTCTCAAGACATCCTTCCTTCTTTGAATGCTTAGCTTTTCAAACCTTTTGTTGAACCTGCATATAAGAACATTTATTTTTGGAAAAACACTTAGGTTGCATTGTTTTTATGTTTCTCTACCTTTTACAAATATTTTATCTTTATATTATTAAATTTGGAACTTTTTATATCTATTTTTTTTGTTTAATATTTTAAGGTGCATTAGTTTCATTTTTTTAGAACATCTACTTGCTAAACAATTGTTCAATTTTGACTTGAGTTTTGGTCATGTTTAGCATTAAGACTCTCATTGAAACTATACCAGAACCTTTGTATTAGGTTGGTTTACTGGCCTATTGATTTTCTAAAGCTATGTATAACTAGCTTATTAATTTTTGAAGCTATGCATGGCTCGCCTATCAATCTTATAGGCTAGCTTAGTTTCTTAGAATGAAGACCTCTTCACTCATCAATGAGGATCTTAACTTTATCGATCAATTAGTATATGCCATGTGTAATAGCCCAAATTTTTGGCACTTATGTTGAATAATTAATTAATTAATTTGGGTATGAGATGACTAATATAAAAGGGGATTTTAATAGAGGACCAAATTGTCTAATTCTTCAATCTTGGGGATGTTAGTAGAAAAAATAAGAGAGAGAGAAAGTGAGGGATGAAGTATAAGCAGTAAGAAAACCTAATTCCTTTTCTGGTTTTCTCTTCTCTTTTAGGGTTTTCCTTTTCTCTTCTATTCCAATTCCAAATCAAAAAACTTGCTAGCCTCTCTATGATGTTGCTTCTTCTAATCAAGATTGCTACTTTTTGTTCTTCCTTCCTTGTCTGTGATTTGAATGCCTAGTGGGTGTCTTTCTACGACTTCTCTAGTAAGAAAAACAACCACAATTCACCTTTCCATCCTTGATTAAGTTGTGTTAACTTTAATCTCTTGCTATTTAGATTTTGGGGTAGTTTCCTCTAGTTTTCCCCTTTGATTTTACCAACCACATGATTAACATCATTGATCCCCCTGCTAAAAAAATTATGTATGTGAATCATGTATTTTTTGCACTTTTGTGTTGAAATTCCTTGACATATATACCCCGTTAAAAACTTAGTTTCTACCTTGCATACCACAAATTTTCCTTATTTCCCACATGAGAATTTGTGCGTTTCTATGGTTGCCTTTTGCTACTGTTTTCTTCCTTTTTCTACCGAGTTTTCACACTATTTTTATAGCTTTTTATGCCCTTGTAGTAGCTTGTTTGCATCTATTTTAGTGACTGATTCCTGTTAAATTGCTGACTACCTTTGCCCCATTTTGGTTGTAAAATTTCTACACTGTAGTTCCATTAATGAATCTGTTTGGGTGCTGTTTCTGGTACCAAAATACTACTATGTTTTAGTTGCTTTGCTACTAAAATATTGTATATTTTAGATTAGTTTTGGTTCATTTTCTTCTACTCTCCTTTGCCAAAAAATCTACTATTAACTGCACTCTTGATTCATTGCTTTTGAACCACCATTGTGAGCTTTTTCTGCTGTTGTTTGCCCAAAAAACTCTTGATGTTCTATCCTAAGAGAATTTGTTGATTTCTACTCTTGTTATCAATTTCTACTGCCTCTGTTCTAACATATTTTGCTCTTAAAAAATTATACATATCTACTATTTAAAAACATGTATTGTTACTCAATTTTATGCTCTAAAAACAACACTTGTTCCCATGATTTTTTTGCACATAAATCAAGCACAAAATTGTCCAAATTTTTAATTACATTTAACTACTACATTTCTACATAAATGTTGTCCATTTCTATCCAATTTAGCTTGTATTCTACACTATTTTTGCTAATGTTTTAGCCCAGATAATCCCTGTTATTCAGGGTATTTTTCTAGACATTTTGAAAATCTTTCAAATAGCAAAAAATCTCATCTTGTTGCCCAACTTTTTATGTTGCTATCTAAGGCTGTTTCAAGCTTGATTTCTCACTAATTCTACTTCGTTTGGCCAAAAATTTTTGAGTGTTTAACTTGCTGTCATGCCCATTAAATCTGGTTTGTTTGGTGTAAGATTTGAGAATCTACAAGCTCATTTCATATGTGAGTGACTCTGATTTTTGCAGCCTAACCCTATATTAGTATTTTATCTATAACTCTTTCTGTAGTATCAGATTAAATTAATTCTTGATTCTATGAAAAGTTAAGAGATAGCCTTACAATTTATCTATTAAATGTTTAACTCAGTTTAGTTGTGATCAAGGTGAAGGTGAAAACTCTCCTACAAGTTTCAGTTCCTGAAAGTGAATGAAACTAGCAACCCTACCTTGTGTTAGTGGTCTTACCATAACTTTCTCTATAGATATTAGATTGATGTGATTCTAAAAGTTATGGAAAGCTAAGAGAGAAGGCTACGATTCATCTGTTGATCATTCTGCCCAATTCCATTAATTTCAAGGCATGAATTTAGTTGTAAATCTTTGGTTCACAACCTGAGCAGAACTTGCTATCAATTCCTTGCTAGTTGTCTACCTACAAGGCAAGATAAGTAAAACTATGGTAAATACCCTTGGATTTTAAGGTAAAGGTTTTAAAAACATATTTTGAACTATTTTTGAGATGGTGACAGGACTAAACTGATTTTCATTGGCACATGAGTATAATTGGTTTGAAATGAAGTTGTTATTATTTTTATTGAGTTGAGTATGCCTACATGGAGTTTTCTTGTTTGTTCTTGAAATTTGAAATTTGGTTTGTAAGTTATGAATTTTCTCGTTACCTCTTGCATATTTGCAAATTATAAATTTTCCTATTGAACTTCTACATGGTTTTGTCTCCAATATGGTCATGATTCTTGAAGCCCACCAGTGGGAGTTGTAAACACTGGCACATGTTGACATGTATATTCGTAGGACTGGTTCATTCTATATTTCTATATTTCTGTTATCCTACCAGTGGGAGAGTACATTGGTATCATACCAGTGAGAGAGTACATTGGTATCTTGCCAATGTGATAGTACATTGGTATTTATGTTATCCTACCAACTGGGATAGTACACTAACCATGACTAATTGAAGGGACCACTAAATAAATTCAAGTATGCATAAATGATTTACAACTAAGATTTTCTTCTTATTTAAAATTAAATTGTTTACTTAGCATGCTTTAGATTTTAGTGAGGGCTTTCCATATTTTTACTTACTAAGTTATCTCACATAATTTTTTTCCTCATCCACCATTTCAAATAGTAAGACTGAGAAGTGGGAAACCAAGGGGAGTGACAAGCTAAAAGGCTAGCCACTTATATTTTGGATTTAGTTCATTTTGGAGATAGACCTACTAGACTAATTGTGTTGGACATAGATTTTTGAGATATAGATCATTCTTTTGTGGGCTAAATTCCCTTGGATATAGTCATGACTGTATTGATAAAGAAGTATAATTTCTGTGCACTTTAGCTTAGTCAAACCTTGGTTATTGAAAGCTAGATTTTACTTGAGATTTTGGATTTAAGTTCGTGTGGATTGCTAGTTATGAATTAAGCAGGTTTTGAACCTTGTGCATTTGTGGGAGTTTCTTATAAGTGTACGGCATCTGCTTCGCTCCCGGTTTTGAGGCGTGACACCATGTCCTCTATTTTCTTGTATAAAAGGTAAGTCAAACACAACTTTACACCCCAATCAATCACTACAAATATATGTTGCAAAGTCCTTCCTATATTTGAGAATTACATTAACCTTCATAGCCTGACTCATGTAACTTTGCCCAATTGTTTATATATAACCTAACTTGCTCGCAGCTTTTAGTTTGCTTTAACATATTCTAGTTAGTTTTTAGTTCTCAGTATTTTGAGTTAACCAACCTTATCCAAATCTCAAAGCTTTAAGAATAGCTCTGTAGTTTCACACATCTATATTCTTTTTGCCATGTCTGGTGTTTAAAACTTTGGATCATTTAAAAGTGATGCTAAAACTATATGTCACCTAGAAGTGAGCAAAGATGTGCATAGCCAAGATCTTATTCTTAAAGCTATGATCCACTTAGAAGTGGTTTTTAGTATTAAATCTTTGCTTTTAAAGTGCGCAACATTTTAGGTCCTTGGAACTAAAGTTCCACTAGGATGATTGGGCTTGAAAACTCTATTTCTTAGATCTTCTTTGAAAAGGTATGAGCATTCCCAATTTAGGTGCAACTTTCCTTCTCTAGAATTTTTTTGAAACCTCCATCTTCCACAATACCCAATCTCCTTCGTATAGCTTTTTGTGTTTTACTTTGCCATACATACACATGTGACAATTCTTTGATTTCTTCTACTAGGTCCAAATTTGCTCTCATAGCTTCTTTATTTGTGCATTCACTATAATGGCTTGTCCTATGATTTAGGATTCTAGTTTCCACATATATTACAGCCTTTTTTGCTTTTCATACTTTCTTCTTTAGACCTTTTAATGTAGCTTTATTTGCTACTTCTGCTTGTCTGTTCAACTTAGGATATGCCACTAAAGCAAACCTTTGCTTGATTTGTTTAGGTGTTTTTCCTTTATTTTCAAGCTATATTTTGATTGTAAATCTTCTTTTGAAATTATATGCTTAGCAGTAGTCTTTAAAAGCCTCACTAGTAAATAAAGTTTAAATGTCTATGATGAGGATCTTTGGTACTCCAAACTTGTAGATAATGTTTGTTATTGCAAATTGTTCAATTTTTCCTTTTGTCATTCTTGCCACAACTTCCTCTTCTATCCATTTTGGTGAAGTAGTCTATTGTCACAATGAGGTATTTCTTCCTTTCTTTATCTTTTGGAAAAGGTTTGAGTATATCCATGCCTCATTGAGTGAAGGGTTATGGAGTTGTTACCATATGCAAAGGATTTGACAACTAGTGTTGAATTTGTGCAAACCTTTGACATTTATCACATCTTTTGACATATTCCTTTGTATATATCTTCATTGTCAACCAAAAATATCCTTAGCAAAGGATTTTCTATGATAAAGAGTCTATTGCCATATGACTAGAGCGCTCCCCTTCATAAACTTCTTCCATCATTATTTTTACTTCGTTAAGTGTTAAACATCTAAGTAATGGTTGCATGTATGATCTTTCATAAAGATGATCATTGATGATTGTGTGCCATGCGGCTTTTTGTTTCAACTTTCATGCCTTTTCTTTACTTTCAAGCAAATCTCCATTGGA